TCCCACAAAAGCAATAAAACATACAAGGAGCATTGGAGGAGCACAAAGATGTGGAGCTACATTCTGGTCCATAAAAACATTCAAAAACAAACACAGCAAATGAAAACACCTTGGCTCTCTCCTACAACCTCAACACAGCTATTGTCCTATAGCATTGCCAATAGTTTCCTGAATTGAAAAAAACCTTGTATCCAACGTATAGTTTCAGTCTCTGATTACCAAGTCGAAAAAAAAAAACCTTGTAGACATTTCTAAAATTTAGCTTTCATTTAAGAAAAAAAGTACCCTCAAGGAAGGGAGTGCTGAACAATACCTTTCAGACTTAATAAACATCCATAAAGCACTGAAATTAAAACTGTTTAACCACACATACACACACATCTTAAGAGCCTTTTGTGAAATTCTCTAGAATGCTTTGTCACAAATGGTTATATAAGCAGATAGATTTCTGGATGGAAATTTATTATATAAGTCAAAATGGAGTTCATACCCTATGTGTCAAAATTCAATTAGTTGAAGGGAATATTAAACTAAGAAAAACTGTGAAAATAATTGGGGGAGGGGGGAGTTTCATTCAGAAGCTTGATTTTCCTTCATTTCCAAAAACTGAGATATCATATCATGGTAAATACAAAAATACACCAAGGGTGCTCAGATGTAATACATGTAAACCTAATGAAAATTCTCCAGTAAAAGTTACTTTTGGTGTTCTCATGAAGTATTTAAAGAATCAAATAAACACATATCATGTGAGGTCCTAGTTTCCTAAATATAACTTTGAATCTCTGGTGAGGCGAAAGTTTATAAATAAATAAGTACCAGGTTGAGTCTCCCCACAGAAGTCTTAAATCTATACAACTAACCAGACTTCTCTGGCAATGGGGCAAATCATAGGGGCAAGTCAAATTTCTATGATTTCCTTTTTAACCATCTCTCTATCATGAAAAACTGCATTGGTTGATTTTCAGATAAAAGAGAAAATAACATGTATTAAAGAAACATTTGGCAGAATTTACATTTATACTTCATGATAACCTATTGATGCTATACTTTGTCAGATCACATTAATATAAATTTGAACTGAACTTGACAAATTCTGTCAAGATGGAAAAGCGTCTGAATTATATGCGTCTGCCAGGAAGAAAAAAATGCAAAAATTGAAATATGTTTCAAAATAAACATATCAGATAGCATATACTTTTTATTTTATAGCCAAAGGCTCTGACACCTAACCTTCCTTTGGAAAAATATACACAAATTGTATCAAGATATTTGTTTCCTCTTGTAACTGAGAGTTATTTAAACATGTCATTTTTTTTTTAGTGTCCAGATGGATTTTTTAAGGCAATTTTTTCTTTCAGAATATAGATGACTTAGCTACCTACAAAGTAATTTTTGTGATATGTTAAATCCATGACCCAAACTTTAGGTTCTTGTTATAGATGTACTTTCTTTTTTAATAAAAATGCAACAATATGTATACACTATTGAATAACTGTATTCTGGAATAACAATGATTTCACAAAGATATACTATATTTAATAACTATTGCTTCCATGGTAAATGATACCAAAAAATAACATTTCTCTGTTTAAACATTTGCTGAATACAATGTTTATGTATTTTTTTTTTCTCCTTTGACAAATGTGGAAGCTATTCCAATGTCCATACAAATACACTAGTAGGTTTAAGGACATGTCATTACAAGGCTATTTACTTAATTTCTTAGCCTCCCCCCAAAAAATGAAAGAAAGAAGAAAAAGAAAAGTACTTGGAGTCTATAAATATGTTTTAAAGTGATGTGCTGTTATGATACATATGCATACTCAGCATATTATACATTAAGATCAGAAGTTTTCTCAACCATTTGCTTATTCAATAGACCTCGCGCAGAAGATAATCTGTGAGTGGTCAGTCCCATTTAGTACATCAGTACCATCAGTTTACAAGTAAAAATACACTCACACATGTATAATAATGCTTCCCTTAAGCAAACTGGGGAGTCAACCAAAATACTGAAGGGGAAAAGATGGCATAAAATTGCCATGTCCCACGAATGGATTTTGAAGTGAATACATTCTCTGTACCCCTCTAAACACTTTTCTGAGAGAGTGGAGCTTTCTCTGGCGAATATGTTTTATAAAGAATAGTTCTTTTAAAACATCCCATTTTAGGTCACACACTGTTAGGGATTAAACAGATTTCTACTCTTTTTCAGAATAATCTTATTTGCTCATTTGGAAAACAATTTGTGAAAGAATTATTCATTGTTCCTATGCATACATTTTAAAAATAATTCACCACACATGACCAAATTATTTTCAAAGTATATACAGAAAGAGAAGAATACTAAACTTTCCCCTGCCTACATGTGAGAGCTTGTCAGCATTCGACTCCAAGGCCTTTAATCCCAGGCTTTAAATAATTCAGATAACAGTTGATTACTCCATTGCAAGAAGCGTTGAGCTCTGAAAAATCTGAGTAACACAATATTTTCTACATTAAAAAGCCAATCTCAAATAGTAGGCATCTAAGTAAAACACTTTGAGACCAAACCATGCAACCCAGTTTTTGCATTTACTGCATCAACTCTGGTAAATACCACTGTAGTTTACTACAGAGTAATTCTGCATTCTTGCTTTCATTACCAAGCCATCTAGTTCAACAGCTCAATTTGCTGAAGTCACAATCTCCCATCCATACATTTTTTTGGGTTTAAAGATTAAAAAGGTTATAATTCTTTGAATTATAACAAGTGAGATGGTTAGTTATGTTACACGGAAATCCTAAAGTGCCCACAAACGAAATTTTAAACTTAAAAGAATACTGCTTTGACACTCACTTCTATTTCTTTAGGAAAATAATCGTGTTATGTTTTTTAACAACCAAGATTCAATATCTGTTGCCTCTGTTCACTTGTACACATCAGCCATTACAAAAGAGCTCTGCTCACTTGGCTAAATTACAACCTGAGTAATGTAAAACAGGCAGAAGCACCAAGAAATATTGGCTTCCGACCCCAAATCAAAAGGCGACAAAATTTTGCCATCAAAAATGTCTCGCTGAGCTCCAAATGGATTAAATTCATCCATAAAGCTGATGATGTATGTAGCACTTCACTTTGATGTATATGAGCGTCCATATATGTCTGAGCATGTGTTCATAATTATCATGGAACCAGACAAATGAAAGAAATACAACTAGGTTACGAACATCAAATAAGCCCTATAAAAATTATCTAAGTTGAGCAAGGAACCCACTGATTTTCCTGGTCTGGAACATTTTGAATCATTTCCTTCTCTAAAACTACTCATCACATGCTTTCCCTTAAATCCTTGCCTAGCACAGGAATCATCAGTTTCTCTTCATTCTAGCAAGCAAGTTCAGCCTTTTCATACATTCGGACTGAAACATCCTGAAGTAGAAAATCTACAGACTGCATTCAGTATCGCCCCAAAGTACCACATTTGACTACTGCCCATACCATTTGGAAACCAGTCCTCACATGACTACTGGCCTGACACCTCATCCATCAGCGGGTGCCCAGAACAGACCTGGGCAGTCTCTTCCTTTGCGCCGTCTCCAGGGTGGAGGCCCAGCTGGGAAACAGGCTTCTCTTCCAATAGCAATTAGATCTTTAAGATCAGGCCTTAGCAATCTGACCTAAAGCCATCCTTCCTCGCAACAAAGTCTCCAGCATCTTCAGAGGAAAAAATAACGGGCAGGAAGGCAAATGAGAAGAAATCCAGGTCTCCGTGGCCTGATTAGAAACTTTGTTGTGTCAAATAAACTTTGGCCACTGGCGGAAAGTACCCTATGGTGGCTCTGGCTTTAGAAAGATCTGTCCGGGGCTTCTCAATCTTCTATCACCCCCCTCTCTCCCTCTCCCTCTGTCTCCCCTCTTCTCTTGTTTCAAAAGGGGCCTCTGGTCAGCGCTGATTAATAAGTGTTTTTTGTTGTGAAGTGTTGAATAATAGAGGATGGCCGGTGACCCAGTAAAGACTAAACCTTGCTCTGGTTTATTGTGGCAAGCTGAGAAAGGGGCTTTCGGCCCGGGACCCCAAGCACTGACCCGCACACATCCCGCCGATCGCCTATTCAGCCCCACAGCCCCACAGTCGCCCGGGCTCCCATTGTCTGCCAGGCAACAATGGAGATTTCGCAGGGAAAGTAAAGCTCCTTTCAGCTCCCTCTCTGATGTTTTGCATTTGGGGGAAACACCGACCTCCACTTTTTCCCCCGACATCTTTCCCTATGGCAGTTAGAGCCGTGGATTTTCGGTGAAAACTTGTGTGACTTTGGTGCTTGTTCGCCCAACACCAGTGTCAGGGAAAGCGAGCCGGGTGGAAAAGAGAGCCCCGGAGATTCCTTTTTTTTTTTTTTTTAATGCATTTAGATGATGGAAGCCGCCTCTAGGGAGACAGGCGAACGGGGGGAGGGGAGCAGAAAACGGGAAGAAAATGATTCCTCGCCAGGGTAGCCCGGGCGGCGGGGGCTTCGGGGCGGAGAGGCGGGCGCGCGGGCGGGCGGGCGGCTGGGGAGTGGCGGGTCCGGCTCGGCGCCCGCGAGCCCAGCGCGCCGTCGCGGCTCCTTCCCCGCTCTCCACGCGCCCAGCTCGGCTCCCGAGCGCGAGGCGGCCCCGAGGCCCCGGCGACCCTGCCCCGGGCGCGCTCCGGGACCCGCGAGGCCGGGCGGGGGCGCGGCAAGACAGGGGTTGAGCCGGGGCCCCGCAGGCCTGGGCCGCGTCTCGGTCTCCGAGAGGCTTCGTCCGCTCGGCTTTCCCGCCCCCGGCCCGGGGCCGCCCTCCTAGGTTTTCCGTCGGCCTCGGGGAGGCAGCTGCTCCCTCTGGGCCGGGTGCGCGCGGCCAGGCCGGGTCTCAGGATGACTCGCCAAGTCTGCTCCGGTCGCGGTCCCTCTCGCCGCCTCGCCCCGGCGGCCTTCCGTCCCGGGATCGGCGGCCCCCGAAGACACCGAGGGCCTCGGCTTGCCCCGATGACTGGCTAACCGCCCGACGCGTGCGAGCGAGGGTCGGGCGTCAGCGGGGCGGCCCAGAAAGGCCAGACAAGGGTGGGGAGCTGGCGGCTCCCCGTGGCCTGAGGAGTGGAAAGTCCGCTGTGGGTTCGCGCGGCCCGGGGCGGGGGGGTGGGGGGGAGCTGAGGGTGCAGGGCTCGCCGGCCCCAAGCCGCAGGCTGGGAGGGGGCGCCGTGCGGGACTGCGCTAGGCCGCCCTCCCCGGACCTGCCGGGTCCACGCCCTCGCGGCCGCCTGGGACCTGTCGCGCCCGGGATCCGCGTCCGCGCACGTCCCGCCGCGCGCCTCCACCTTCCCCCGGCGCGCGCCTGTGCGCGGGGCAGAACGAGGGCTAGGGGCCGCGCAGGCCTGGTGGGCGGCGGGAGGCTCGCACTGCGCCTGCCCGCTGGGCCCCGGCCTGTAGCCCCGCGCTCTCCGACCGCTGCTTGACAGCTCCGGGAGCCGGGAGAGGAAGAGGAGCAGGAGGAAGGGCACCGGGAGGAGGTGGAGGCGGCGGGCGGCGAACTCAGGGCAGCCAAGGGGGAGGAGGGCTCATTGTCCGGTCCCCCCAGTCCAATTGATATGCTAATCCCTTTTCTGATGCCATAACAAAGAACACCTTTGCACTTTTAAAAGACTTTTTGTGCCCTGGCTACAGAAGTTTATTATCCACTAATTAGCAACAACTTCTGGCAATGAGTTGGGTTACATTTTCATAAGCTCCAAGCCCGGGCAACGAGATGCGCAGGCCAGGAGGAGGTTCGCGCGCCTGGCAAACCCGAAGGGGAAAAAAAAAAAAAAAAAAACCCGGGGCTGGAAACAAGTGGCCCGCTCAGATTCCTGGGCCCAAGGGCGGGAGACCGGGGATCAGAAGCTCCGTGCTCCGAACGGACCGAAATGTGCCCAGAGAAAGGGACTGAGGGCCCTTGCTGTTAAGTGACCTTATTTGATCCGACACAGTGGCCCGCGTCCGGAGAGCTGCGCGGAGGCGGCGGCTGTGAGCTGCTTTGCAGGTGTCCTGGCCGAGCCATCTGTTTGGGGTGGAGGATTGCAAGGCCCGGGCGAATGTTCTAGCATTGGCCTCTGATCTCTTTAGCTTTTTTCTTTGCAGCCTCCACTTTAGAATAAGCCGCGGGCGAGGGAGCGGCCCATAAGTCAGAAACTCACCCGTAGCCCGGGTTTCTTCCTAAGGCCTGCCCTGAAATTCCAGGACCCAGAAAGATGAGTCGAAGTTGGCACCGATAGTGCCGGGGAAGGGGAGGGCGTGGGGAACTTGCTGGATTAGGGGCCCACTGAGGTCGTCTGAAGTGGGCACCCCCCCAGAGCAGACCCTTCTGGCTAACCAGTGGACATAGCCGCACCTTCCCTGGGGCCGGATGCTGTGCGCACCGCGTGACCCTGCTTCCCTCCGGCTTTGGCAAGATGCTGCCGATCTTTAACAGTCCCACATCCCAGGTCAATAAACTGGAAACGGATAGAATGAGCATCATCCGGCGAAAGATAAAGGGCAGGGGGACGAAGCGCATTCCTTCTAGAGTCTCCAAAGAGAACGCCGTTTCTCTAGCCGCTAGTAAAACACCCGGTACAGTGAGGCCTTGGGTCTGTGCTCAGCCGCAGAGATGTTTTATGTTAGATGACGTGAGCCCTCGAACCCAGCGTTGTTTGAGTGTATGTATGTGTGTGTGTGTGTGTGTGTGTATATATATACACACACACACACATACATCCTATTTTCTAAAAATCTTCTTTCATTTTTGGTTTCCACCTTTTTTTTTTTTTTTTTGCAAGAGAGCCAGTTGGGGGTATTGTTGAATTTTTCAATCAGATGTAAGGTGGGTGCTGGCGGCCTGTGCCTCCTCCTGCTTAGGGCTAAGCAGAGGCCGGTTTGATAAATGTTCAAGGTGAAACATGGCCTTCCTCAAAACCCCGCGGTGATGTAGGGTACAAGGCGAATATGCAAAGGCGGGAGGTGGCGCGTTACATGGTTTCATTCCTTTTCGATGGAACGGCGTGCGGTTACCAGCAGCCCTAACCCCTCTGGTATCCGAGCGCACTGTTTTCCGAACAGGAGCTGTTAAAACCAGAAAGTGGGGGGGGGGGGGGTAAGGGGGGGCGACGACTTCAGGGAATACTGCCGGAGAAAATGCAGACGATCACCAAGATATTAGTGATGTTGGATCTCATGGTCTCCTAGACAGGAATCTCAGGAGCAAGAAAATATTCCCAAGTGTCTCGTCGGCAGTGGCCGTGGGTGGGGTGAGGGAGGAGATGGGTGGTGAGTGCGGGGGAAGAGAGAGGAGGTGTGTCTCAGTTGTCACCCTCGGCCCCCTTCAGTGAGGGAGAACAATGGCGGGGCCTGGGGTTTTCCCTGAAAGAGAAACTGCAGGAAGGCAGAGTTGCTCTTTGTGCCTTAACCCTTCCGAAGTAGGGGGAGCCACACACAGGACCCCACCCGCTCCGACCATTGGGCGGTGTCCGCGAGATCTAGACCCCTCCGAGACTCTCTGAGAGCTTTTAAAAAAAAAAGGAGAGAGAAAGAGAAAAGAAAGAGGCGCCGGCCTTGTCGCCTGGTAAGGCCCACTCAGCCTCCGGAAGAAACCCGAGCAAAACCGAGAGACCCTCAGAATTCGCCAGGCGAGGGTTGGGGGGCGGGGAGGGTGAAAACCTCACACCCCCGCCTGGTGCGTCGGCCTCTTCACCACCCCCCCCCCGCCCATGCACAACTCCCACCCCCATCCCATCCCAACGTCTGATCACGGTGGATTCTGCTTACGTGTTGTATTTCAGATTAAGGATGTATTTATTTATTTATTTAATCCTTCAGATCTTCCCACACCACAAAAAGATTTCATTCTTTTCCAAGGCAAAGGGTTGATTAAAAAAAAAAAAAAGAACTCTCCATTTAAAATCAATGGGGGAAATCAGATGGCTGTGACCTTGACGTGTGAAATGGGGGAGGGGCGGGTAGATTTGGGGGCCCAAATCCTTGGCCTCTCCGTTTCTGGGGCGCCCTAGGCCTTTTCAAAGGACACCCACGAGACGAGGGGGTCTATTTTCAAAGGTTACCATTAACAGTTCATTCGCTCAAAGTTGGGAACTTGGTATTTTCATATTACGTGAAATACATGATTTAATTATACTCCAAAAACAAATTAAGGACAGGCCTTCTACACAAATTGGAGGCAGCTAAATGCTCTTTTGTGCCTGCAGCCCTCGGGTTGTTAAAGAGGCTGCTGATGCATGAGAAGTGAGTGAGTGATTTAACTCATTGGGATGCAGGAAGCGACCTGCCCTCTTTTGAAAAAAAGAGAGAGAGAGGGAGAGAGAGAGAGAGAGACAGAGACTGAGACTTCGAGCTGGAGAAGAGAGAGGGAGGGGAGAGGAGGGAAAGAAGGGGAGAGAGAGAGGAAAACGCAGAGGGAGGGAGGCAGGGAGACCAAACCCCCGCTTTACTGCGTTGAAAGCTTCTGAATTTCAAGCAGAAAGTAGAAGGAGCCCCACACGGCTCTGAGCGTCTTTCCTTGGGCTGCGTGTGCAGAGCGTAGACAATGAAAACCTCCATCCCCCTCCCCCAGCCCCGCTAGGCTACAAGATTTTTGTTTTCGTTGCTTCTCAACGATGGAAGATGTGCAAAATCAAATATAGAGAGATGTGTTTATATTTTGAAAACAAACCAACCGAACGGGCTGAGACGCGGATTACCCAAACGCGCGAGGGCCGTAAGTAACATCTCTCTTTTTTTTTTTTTCCCCCTGGGTGAGCCGGGCTCTGCGTCGCTGCGGGGTGGGGAGTGTTCGCTTTGTGAGTTGGGGGCGCGGGTTTGCGTTCGGGTGGTTTTATTTCCCAGGGCTTTCCTCGAAGCTTGCACTTCCCGCACGTGAGCGGGATCAGCAGCCGTTTCGCCCGCGGTGGGCGTGCGGAGCAGGGCACTTGGCTGGCTTGGATGCGGCAGGCGGGGGGCGGCGGGGGGCGCCCAGGCGAGGAGTTCCCGCGTCTCGAGCATCCTTCGAGAGCCTCGAGCCCGGCTCTGGGCTTCCAGGTTGGTTCCCGGCAGTGGATGGAAATCAGGTCACCGAGGTCCCTAAGCTCCCGGACTCCCAGACGTGCTGAGGGGACGGGATGGAATTGGAGGAGAGATCCGGGGAGGAGGAGAGAGAGGGGAGCACCCCCACCCCCCCCACCCCCCCCCCCCCAGGCCTAGGATGGAGTCTGGGGCCGCCGCTGGCCGGGACCCTTGGTTTGCGAGACTTGGTCTTGGCCGGGGTTAGCTGGCTAGCGAGCATCGCGCCTTCCTAGATAGAAGCTAGGAAGCTTCCTAACAGTTAGCTGGCTAGCGAGCATCGCGCCTTCTTCTGCACCTCAAAGAAAAGATCTGGTGACAGGGACTGAGTGAGGGTGGGAGACTGTGTCTCAGAGCGCCCAGGCGGGAGAATTTGTGGTTCTGAGAAAGGTTTGTTTTTTTTTTTTTCCCCCTCTTGGAAATGCGCAAGAATTCCGCGGGCTCACGCTTTCTTTGTGCGCCAGGCAGCGCCAAGCGCTTTGTGCTTCACAAGGAGAAAATGGCGAGTCCTATTGTGTTTAGGCCATTTTCTTCCGGTACAAGGATTTTCCCAAGTTCTAAAGACTTCTTTGGAAAGTAGCCTTCTCTTGCCCTGAAAAGTGTGAATCGCTGTAGTTCGGCCCGGTGGCCTGGGGTGGGTACCGACCTCAAATGAGGCAAGAGCCTGTTTTCTTACCGTTGGAATACTTTGTATCAAAACAAAAAATATGACCAGTTTGTGCAGGTCGATGCTCTTCAAAGATTCGCAGCGGCTCTCAGAGATTCGGAAAATAAGCGTCTGTTTATGTGTTTATCTATACATATCATACTTTTCCTGATAATCTGAAGGGAAAGATAAAGGACAAAAGACAATTAAGTGTGTGGAAGATGGAGGGAAGTTTTTTCTTTATTCTTTTACCCCCTAAAGGAAACCCCAGGAGAGGTTAAATGTTACTCTGCCAGGTCAATCTTTTGTTTTTTAAACTGAAGGTGAAACGTTGTTTTGGGCTGAAGGAAGCAGCCTTAACCACTAGAGGATATGCCTTCTTTGCTTCACAAGAAAAAAAAAATTACAGTGTTAAAGAAGGGATTTAGCTTAATACTCTTAGTGCTTGTATATGTGCGTGTGTGTGTGATTATATCTGTCTATACAGAGAATTGAGAAGGTTGCTATTTGGCCTTTTTTCTTTATCATTTTTGTGAAGATTTCTGCATTTGTTAGGCCATATATAAAGGTGGACAAGGATGCCTCTACAAGAATGCCTTACATTTCTGAAAGCAAAAAACAAACAATGAAAAACTGCAGGTTGAAAAATACTACTTCCTACTGACTACAATTCTTTGGAGCCCTAAACGTGGTGGTGATTTTATCAGCTCAAAAGTAATGTAATGCAAACTTTTTTCATCTGCTTCTTGTACTCTAAATTGGGTGCAAATATATAGAAATGAAAACAACTGGAATAGAAAAGAGGACTTAAACCCTACAGACGTTCCCCTCTTGACATTATCTTAAAATGTTAAAGCATCAAATTGGTGCCTAGGCATCCTGATTTCTATTTTTCAAAAGGTACCCTACCATCTCCCTTCATGTGGATCAAGACCATGGACAGCGAACTAATATGAAATCACTTGAGCAAAAAAGCAGCTCTTGTAAAATTGTGTGGGAGCAGAATGGAAGCTTACATTCAAAACATGTCGGGAGACAAAAAACAATCATTATATTTTTATAAGGAATTAGACTCCTTTACCTTGTGGCATTTCAAACATTCTACCACGTTCAAAGAAACAACGACTTATATACCATACTCAAGTAGTATATGTTATTAATCTAAGAGGAGGTCTGCCCTTTGTTACTGATAAATAACAAGTTTAAATCCGTCCTTTTAAGGTGTGAGCTGCTTCTTACAAGGCCTTCAAGCAGAGTGAGGATAGAGAAATTTTGCTGTTTTAGCCTGACATTAGCTGAATGACGCTGGAGCAAATTAAATTGATTTTTATCAGTGACTGAATTTCTAAATGCATAGAATTGGAAGAATTAAATGCCACTTTGATAGACAGGAATAATATGAATAGAGATATAGTCCAGCTACTCCTTCTACTCCTGTTTAGGCACTGTAATATATAACCAGCAATGCAGTGTTGTCAGCAAACATTTTTTTCTAAGTAAATCACAGATTTTTTTTTCCATATATACACATTTGATTTAGGGCACAGGGTTAGTTCAGTGCAGCTCTGTGCTGGAGATCAATTTATGCTGTTTCCTACATTGTATGAATTGCCATTATTCCTTTCCAGAACTGAACTTCATTTAAAGCCATTTCATTTGTGGATTACATAACACATTCACAACTGCTCATTTAAATTTCCAATTCCGTGTATCTTTTGGCTTATTTCATAACCTGACTTCAGTGTGACTTGTAGAGGCCTGGGAAATAATATAAAGCAAAGTTAATAATCAGGTGTAAAGAAAACAAAATAGTTTATATTTAAATTTTAAAATGAAATCAAGTTAAAGAGAGTTTAGGGTTTCTAAATTAATTATTTGATCTTTACTCATTGGATTTGACTGCAGAATGAAATTGCAGTTACTTGAATGTATAGATTCTTACAATTAGGTGCTAGATATGTTTTGGACAGACACACTTTTTTTTTTTAAACAATGTCTTCAAAGTACTTGCAAAGAAAATGCAGTGATCAGGACCATGGTGAGGTCCCCTTGGCACACCCAGTGCTGGCCCTGGATTCTGCTTGGGATGCAGAGGTCAGTTGGGAGAGGGGTCATTGTTTAGAAAGGCACATTCGCCCGAAATGGCATCCGTGATGAGATTAAACATAAACCTAAATCTTGGCCTGGGTAAAGGATGGCAGTGGGGCGAGAAGAGGAGATGCAGACAACCTTGGTTCTGCTGCCTGCGCACATAACTAAGAAGCCGCCCCTCTTCTGGAGCGTGGACTCTGTCTGGGCCTAAGGTGCTTATTTTGCTGTTTCTTGGTCGTCTGTGTGTGGGAGTAACAGCCCAAGAGCTTAGAGTTAGGGATTCAGACAAGAGGTCCTGAAGAGGTGGGCTCTCGTCTCCATTAGGAGAGGCAGCCCGGAATGGTGATTGGACTTGGCTCTACAAGCCGGAGCGGGGACGGCAGGGCTGCGAGAAGCGGTCTGGAGAGACTGGGGCAGACGTCGCGGGGGGTGGGGGAGGCGGGCTGTCTTTGGGCCCCTGCGCTGGTGCCAGTGGGGCGCAGGGCAAGGGCAGGGAAGGCGCCCTTCGCTGTGCCAGGCGCAGCTCTTGGGGGCTGAGCGCCTTCTGCGGCTCTTTGGTTTCAAGGACACAGCGAGCTGCCCAGGACTTTGGGAGCCAACATCTGTCTGACTGGTGACGTCAGCAACCCGTGTAATCCTCTTCTGCTGAAGGCAGATGCCTTATTTGTTTGGCTGGAGCGAGCCATTAATCCCTAATTCTGGATCAGCAAGCGAGGGGGAAAGACTGGACCGCTCCGATCCACCCCCTCCCCACCCCCACCTCCCACCCTAAAGCACCTTATACCACGGAAGCCTCTCAGCCTCCTCTTTCCTCCGAGAACGCGCTGAGCAGCAATCGAAAACGCTCTGGTCCTCTGCAGGTTTGAGCAGGGCTAGCAGGTCTTTCTCCTTCGGATTTCCAGGGCGCTGTGTTATCTGTGATGCTTTCTCTCATCGATCTTTTCGATTTTCATGCTGGGACTCGCCGATCTTGCAGTTTGCAGGGTACCAAGCCAAGAAGGGGTGGGGATTGGAGAGTGCGGATCCAGAGTTCGGTGTAAAGAATGGGGTGAAGAGGGGGAAAAGGGGGTACACCATGCGGGGACGGCTGGACTGCACCGGAAGACCCTCTGCGGACGTGTTCTGAACGTTCCGGCTCCCGAAACCCCTTCTCTGGCCGCGAAGATGCCGCAGGGTCCGGCCCCCACCTCGCGGCTTCCGCAGCCGGAGCAGCGCGCACCGCCACCGCGCCGCCCCCCAGGCTGCGCGCCCTGCTGAAGCCTGGGGACAGCCTGGGGAAGGAGGTTGAGGCCAGCCGGCTGAGGTGCCGTCCTCCCGTCACCTCATTTCCCTCGCCTGCTCCCTCCCGCCTCTCGTCCCTTCTTCCCCCACCCCACCCCCACCATGTTCCCCCTCCTCCCTCCCGCCTCCCTCTCTTAATGATGCGCTGTGATTCTGTTTTTCAGGGGCGCGCTCTGGGGTCTCCGGCTAGACCGGCTCCCAGCGGTCTCCGCAGCCACAACCAGGCTCTACGCCGCCCCCGGTGCCGCGGGGGCCGAGAGTCCTCCCTTCCTCGGACACCGGAGCTGGAGTGGGCCTTTCCCTCCCGCGGACCGCGCCGTAGGGGACGCCGAGAAAAGAGCCGCTGCGCCCGCCGCCTCCAGCCCGCTGCGCTGATGGCTCCGCCCGTAGAGGTCAACTCCCCTCACCCCTTTCTCTGTCCTGCTCGCCCTCCCGCGGCCCGGCCCTCGGCTCCGCCAGCCTCCGGACTGTGGCCGCAGTCTGAGGATTGCGCATCCGCTGCGCTGCGCTGCTCCGAACCGTATCCCCCAGGAGGGCCCAGACCCGAGGTCCGCGCTCCCGGGCGGTGGGGAAGCCTTAGCGAGCAGCATTTTCTCTGCAGCAAAGCTGTAGTTGGACCAGATGGGCCGCCCAGCTCTCTCGGGACTAGGCAGGTGCGGTTGAGTTAATTTTTCCGCATTACAAAGAAAGATGACCCAGCCGGCCCTTGGACTCTGATCTCCCCCAAACCTCCCCAGCGGAACAGCGGTCGCGTTATCTCAGGGCACAGAGACGAGGCGTATCTGAGTGTTTATCTTCCCTATACACACGTGTGGTGGTTGTCTTTTGTGTGTGCTAGAATCCTCCCCGACAGCAGGAAATGATTGGCAAAGCTTTCTGCAGTAGAACATGCAATGGCGCGGTCCTTAAAATCTGCCCTTCCTCACAAGCAACCTACAAGAGATGCAGGGCGGACCAACTCAGTTAATTGCCTTCCGTAAAATAACATGATTACGAACTTAGTTCTGGACCAGAGGGGGAATTAACTTCGATCCACGCCCGTCGTTTGATAACTAGATTTATAGGCGTCTGTATATTTCTAGGTGCGCTGTAAATAGCATGCAGATATATGCATATGTATACGCAGACACATGCATCGTCTACATTTCCAGACTAATTAGCAGTGGCTCTGGCAGCTGTGGCAGGAGGCGAGCTGAGACCGGAGCCACATTTATGGGTTACAGGACTCCGGGGGAGTCCTAGGGACTTGACCTCCCGGCAAGGGTAAAGGGCAGGAGGAGAAGTGTGATCTTTGCAGTAGGTCAGTTTCTTTCCGGATCAAGATCAGACTCTGCCCTCCGTGTTCACAGCGGACCTTGATTTAATGTCATACAATTAAGGCACGCGGTGAATGCCAAGAGCGGAGCCTACGGGCGGCTGCACTTGAAGGACACCAGAGCTTCTTAGGATAAGAAAGCGCAAAGGCACTTGCACCGGGCGGGGGCGGGGGGGCCGCTGAGGGGGTGCTAGAAAGAACCCATCCTTGGCCACCAAAAGACCCTCAAACTGATTCCAGAACCAGCCTTGTGTTCTGAAAGCAAAAGGGTCATAGTTTTCACTAAGGGCCTCAGAAATCCGCAGGAAAATCCCCGAGGGAGATCTTAGGGGCTCTTTAGTGACAGCTGTCAGGAGAGCGGTGGTTCCTGGTGCAAATACTCTACAGAGTTGAGGCGTTTAGAAAGCAGTGGTCCTTTTAAGAGTAGGTAGTGTGATTGTTTACAATCCTGGACCAAGATGAGGAAACAAAACAGAAGCAAGAGAGGATCATAACATTAAATGGCGCCCTCATCACTTTGCACACGAAATCTCAAATAGCTCAGCTCCTCTGGGAAGATCCCAACACCCCACCCCACTCCACCTCTCCCTGTCACTTTCCATTCTCCAGTCGGCCTTGCTTAGCTTAAAAAAAAAAAAAGATTTCCTTGTTTCGATGTAGTCACAATGGTCAAATCAGTCAACAGAGTAGGCCAGGGGGAACTGGCCACAAACTTTAGAAGGACCGGGCAAATTAATTTATTTGGAAGCCAAAGAGCTGGACCCTGTTGAGGTAATAATAGTTCCGCACCACGGCCTTGGAGCCAAAGACGAACTCAGCTGAGAAAGCAAACCTCGATAGATGTCTTTGTTCCGCCTTGGCCTACGGAGCTGGGGACAAAGGCGGGTAGCTGAGATAGTGAAGTGGGAACACGACCGGCTCTCGGCGCTGTCCGCGGTGCTGACCACGGCCTTCTTCCCTTAATGCAATTTTACCCCAAAGCAATGGACCGTCCAGCCCTCCACCCCAAAGAATAATTGGATATTAGGTAGTTTGCGAAAGAAAAAATAAAATAAAATCAGGGTAAGGCCATAGACAGCGAAATCTAATAGTTTACCGCAACAGACCACTCTAACTGTCGCCACACTTGGCGTATACGGTCTGTCTTCACGTAGACAGATAACGCTTAATCTATGTACATTGGGGAACAATTTATTTAGGCTGAAACTCGAATCTAGGACCTGCAAGAAGGGGAATGAGGAGAATGAAGACTTTTAGTTTTTTTGAAGTCATCTTCCTTAGAACATAAAATGTAAAGTACTCAGCTACGCACCTTAAAACAGTGCTGGTGGAGTCCCCAAAGGCATTAGTGCCGGAATCAAGAGTGGGCCTCGAGACTGACCGAGAAGGCAGGAACTGACTAGGTGAGGCCAAGCAGGGGCCCACCCAGCCTGCCTTCCCGGGTCAGGCTCGAAGCAGAGGCGGGCCCAGGGTGCCGAGTCCTAAGACCGCTTCGGTGCGCCCAACTTGCTTGGCGCTTTCCGGCCTGCTGGAGGCACTGCAGAGCCAAGAAGCCTAAAATGCGCACTGCGGAAAGAAGCCGACCGCAGCGGCAGCATCCTTCTCCTAGATCTGGCACATGGAAAAAGACAGGGTGTTTACTGAATCCGAGGAAGAGAAGACTCACTTTAAAGCCGAGGGTCGCTGGGGTTAGTATTAACACATTCACTAGATCTTATAATCTCTGAGCATATTTCATCGTCCTAACCTACATATTGACAGCATTAAATAATAAAAATCGAAGTGCTCTAACTAATAACGGATCAAAGAGGAGAGAGACAGAGAGGGGGAGAGAAAGAAACGGAAAACCAACCAATTTGTAGCCAGCCTGGACTTAAAAAAAAAAATTGTTGCGTATTTCCTTGTATTTGCTTATAGATTTACAAAAGTAAACGACGTTAAAATTAGGAATAGATAAACCAATCCAGGCCGAGCAATGGAAGCAACAACACCGATTTCGATTCAGATGCAGAAATGGGCCGTAAATGGGTCTTGATTTCATCAGAGCCTTTCTTTTACACCTGAATGGTACAGATGTAGGAAATGAATCAGGAAAACAGAGCAGCAAAATACAATATCCTCAGCAGGGGAGGTCCTCATCCCCTCCCTCAGGGTGGATTTTATTTGTCTTCTGATTTTAGAACTGGCAGTATTTGTTCTTTCATATCCGGCAATATCTTAGGTTTATATTTTATTTTATACAATTGCGGAGCGAGTTGGTAAAACACATTAGGGAAAAGGCTTACCCGAATGGTAAAAGAAAGGGGTTGGAGAATATTTCTTTTGAGCTAATTGAGATCAGTCCACGGCACTGAAGTGGTTTTAAAGCATTCCACCTTATCCTGGAAGCCTTGATTTCCTTCCAGTATTCACATAGCTGAGCTCATCTCCCACGTCTGCATTCCCTTGGATATTTCATGAAGCAACAAGGATCCACAGCTACAAAACACTCCTGCCTGAATTATGTTATAACTCGTATTACATAACTGGGACACATTTAATCTCCCTCACCCTAATCCTTCCTTTTAAGGACAGTCTAAACTCGGTTCAGCAGAAAGCGTAATCTGTTTAAAAATTACATGATATGAAAGAGAAGGTAAAATACCACTTAGATAAGGGAACACACAATTTGGTCATCTGGTTGCCGTGATTAAATATAGAGTGGTTATCACCCTTAATATTTCTAGATTTTAAAGAATATTTCTCTTAAAAATAATCATCCACCCTAATGTCCATTCCCAGTTTCCCTGCTCTGAAATTCTGTGCTCAGCGTTTTTGTAGTAAAAGCAATCCCTGCTTCTCGCGTCGTGCCGGGGAGGGGGTGGGGGGATGTTGACAATCACAACTCTCGTTCAGTGGTCTCAAATTAAAGCTTCTCGGAATAACCGAGGGACAGCTTGACCCTTTGAGATACTCACCGACCACCCTCCAGGGAAATAATACGTTTCCTTCCTGGGAACAAGACGCTAGAGCCGCGCACCAGAAGGTAGCCTTTGTCAACAGCGCCAGAGCGCCCTCTGCTGCCCGAAAGAGGCAGGACATCACTTACGAAAGCCAGATGGCTCTGAGCTGCAATAAGCGGTGAAAATATTAAGCTCTTAGCAGCATTTAATCTGTGAAATTTAAAAGCTCTCATCATATTGTATGAAGGGACCGACTGATTTTGATTTTGAGCACTCGGATAATTTTCTTCATTCTGGACGGTAGTGTAAAAATGTTCTGAAGCTTTCAGCCTGTTAAATTATTTTCTGTAGTTACATTTCTGCGTCCCTTCCTTCTTAAATTTTATATGGAAATATAAAATTGCAAATTGAATTTAAAACCTCTGTGGTGAATAGATGATTAAAGAAGACTTTTCCTAGTTTCTCCAATTACTAAGATCTAATAAAGAAAAAATAATTAATATAAGGATATTAAACACAGGATGTATAAATTTTTTTAAGATAAAGTTTTAAAAATTAAGGACTGAGATAAATAATTGTTTTCTGGTTTGGATAATTGACCTAAATCTTTCTCAGGCTTTTACTTCCAGAATAAGAAATTGAGTTATCCCTGAGGAAAAGATTGAAACTTGCTTCACACTAATATGTACACTCTTTCTACTCGTGAAATCTTTGTAATGAATTTATATGCATACTTAGTTTGCAAAGAGTTAATCATAAAAGAGTCCACTCTGAGCAGAAATGATCAGATATGGTTCCAGCATAGGCAATTCATCAGTGTTACTTGCACTAAAAATGAGTTTTTCGGTATGGAAAAATTTCTTCTCAAATTAAATGGAGGAGATTTTTTTAAAGGTTAAAAATTCTTTAAATTTTTTATGAAATACAGGGTGTATATTGACTAAAATTAGTATACAGCTGTATTAATTCAATGTTGTGAATTTCAAAATTACATCCTATTTCTAAACATACACATATTTTTGCCATGAAGACTGTTGTTGAATATATCAATGCTAATGTAATAAAATGCTTCTACTAATTATGTGATTATTAAATAAATATTTTAAAAATAAAGTTCT